AACGTGAGGAAGAAATATTCTCAATATTCGCTATGTTAGCTAGGAAAACATATGGAAGAAAATTGCCATTATTTAGACTGGTTTCAATTGTCCTTACCCCACTGTTGGCTCATCTGAGATGAAGATCAAGTAAAATAATTTACCTATTTTATCAGGGCATGTCCATGTTCATACATCTGTTAAAGTCGTTTTTGTGTTAAAAAAGTGTTTTTTTAACTTACATGTATACATTTTTTTTACAATTCAGATATAATTGGTATAATTTTCCATACATTTTCATTTTATTTTAGCTTGTTTGAGTATTCTGTGATCACTTCCATACATGTTTGAGATTACTTTGTCGATTTCTGATCTTCCACTGATCCCACTGACCTTTTTCAATTTGCTTGAGCCACAGAGATGTGTAAAGCATGGGGAGGAAAGTTGTAATGAGTAGCTTTGGTGAATTTGCCTGAGGTTTGTCTTTCCATCCTTCCGTCTTTCCTTCCCTTCTCATTCAAATCATTACATTTCTGTTTCTTTATAGAGTAGTATTTCAAGAGCCTGTGTATGGCAATAAGTTGACATATACGGAGTAGTGAAAAATCTTATCATGTTCAATGTAGACTGCCGTAAAGTCATTATCATACTAAAATCATTTGATGAGGATATGGATTCTGTGTGTAAAATAATAAGCATAGGCTACCAGTTTTGTACCTGGCATTGTTTTGTATCACAAATCACAGATTTTCATCATGTCCTATGAAGTATAACACTCAGTGCTATGAGTGTCTCACTCAGTATTACATTTCAATATATTTCGCTGTATTTGGACTGCAGGAAAATTGGCTTTGCACTAAATTTTTTAAAGACAATGTAATCTACTGTAACATTGCAATATGATTCTTCTGAGAGTCGCAAATATGGGAGCACAGATAAGGCAGTCAACATTATTTTAGCAAAATATATTATTTTAACTGATTTTTTTTTCAAAATAATACCTTAAGGCACAACAATCAGATACATTCTGCTCGAATTTACTTCGGGAAAATAAAAACACTTTCTAAAAAATTTAAAACTACAAATTATGTTGTTAATTTTTATGTAATTAACATATTTCACATGCAACCAAAAGCATGAAGATAAATGTTCAATGTCTCCCAAATATTATATATCTACTAGATATTATTAGTGTGTTCTTCATCTAAGATACAGGCCAAGTTCAAAATCAGAAAATGGTCAGGTCGAACTGTCACATAAGTTTAGGATTCAGTGGCTTCAATGACAGATTCTTATCCTGATTCCTGGTAAAAAGTACCAAGACTGCAGAGAACAAAACCAGTAAAAATGATTTGCTTAAGAATCTTTTAAAGTGTAATTTTATAATAGATTATGCTATAAATATGGAAATATGACATCAGCTGGTACAGAACTGTGACTTAAGTAACTTAATATCAAAAAGTTGGACATCCTGAGTTTAGATTTCAAAAGTATTCAGGCAGATTCAATAACTTAGGTCTCTTTTTCTTTTCATTGCTTTAGACTCAGTCTTTTCTGGACTCTCACAGATCTAATCCCAATTGTTGAATCCAAAGCAGCTTAATAAAGTTCAGAGTTTAGCTTGATTGTTCAGCAGCATTTCCTTGATGAATGCAAATCAAAATGTAAGCATAAAAGCAGGTTCTGAACAAAAAAAAAAATCTATCTTCACACACTGAACAATTTTCAATGGTGCTTAAATAAGGGAAAGAAAAAAACAATTCTCACAGGCCTGGTGTCTGTAGATTTAAGAGGAGCCAATATGTGAACAGCCTGTCTTATTTTGGTCTGATTAAGATTATTTCAACACTGATCCTTTTAGATAGTGGGCTGTTCTTATGTGTCTAGTTGGGTTAGAGTGACCTCTTTCATTTAAGGAAAGGGCTTTTAGAACTGGGCTATTAGCCGTGCAGTGAAGTCATACCTGTGCCTAACTTAGGATCACGGCATCCGGAGAATCCCTTGCTGTCTGACACAAATTTTCAGGCCTGATCATGAATATGAGCTTGTGGAATTGAGAATCTTCTTTCTCCTTTTTCCATTTGGTACCTAGTGATAGCAGAGATTATTTAGACCTTAAACAAATAACCAAAAAATAGAGGGGAGAGCAGATGAAACTATCATCTCTCAACTTTTTTCCTGACAGAACAAGCCAGGCCAAGTGTGTCGCTTTCCTTATCTTCATCATCAGCTTCACTGTTTACTGGCTCTGTTTGTACTTGGTGATATTCATTATAAGACACTTGATTACCCATGTGGGAGTATACCTGCAAGCACTAGTTATCTCCAATACAATTGTTAGTCTGCTGTTTGCTTGTTAGCCATCTATTGCTTTAGAGATATCAAATGCCTGAAGTGCAAATCTGTTTCTTGTCCATGCTTCTTTTCTTGAAAAAGCAGCAGCTTGCTGCAAGAGCAGCAGCATATAGCATATATGTAGTGTGCAGCATTTATATCAAAGCACTATGTTACTCTAGTTTTGTTGCTCCTAATGGCTTTGAGCAGGGATCTGGCCAAACCTGAGTAGGTAACTGAGCACTTGAAGTGGTCCAAACACGTGATCCTCAGAGATGCTGGCAGCATAAAGCCTGGCGTTTCTACCTGATTGTCAGTATATGTAGAATGTATGCTCATTCCTAGGGCGATGTGCCATTATCAGCTAAGCAGTGAATGATTATTTCCAAAAACCAAGTGGTTCATACCTTCAAAACAAATAGGGATGAACACGTTCTACCAAGCTAAGGAGTAGAGAGCAAAATAGGCTGTAACAGGCAGAAAAATGATCTTCTGGCTTTTCTAGAAGTAGAATTTGTGAAATTAAAACAGAAGACTCACAGAAGTTTCTACAGTAAAAATAAAATACTGTTTTTTAAGAGTTGACACAGAATAGTCTATTCTTCATGCTTCAGCATATTTTCTTGCATGAATAGAGTTTTTAAAAAAATCAATCCATTAAAATGCGCACTTGAGCAAGAGGGGGCAGTTCATTCCAAGCTGAGATGGGCTTTTGCATCTCTGTTAATCTTGGGGGGAACTGGGAAGGGAAATAGGATGGTCCCACGTCCCCAGAGAGCCTGGGGTGGCAAATTCTAATTGGAACGTAAATAGCGTTTGTGTTATCTGAGGAGACTGGCCCCTGCTTGCTAATTGGCATGCCGAGATCATTTTGCAATGGCTGATATAGCGCCCTGGTCCATTGAACAGGAAGCTCTGCTGTTTTCACAGTTTGATAATCAATGCATCACTGCACACAATTCCTTTCAAATGTGTGTTTGTTTGTCCTGTTTGCTTAATTGAACAGCTGCAATTACTGTTACATACAGCTGAATGTTAATTCAGGGAAGAAGAGATTTTTCCTTCTTCATTATAATTGTATGTATAATTTAGAAACTTATATAACAGGAAGTATTAATTCAGTGTACAAATCCCCAAAATATTGGGGGTTCATAAGAACAGTTTCTACTTGAAAACCTGTAGAAGAATGTAGTTTTGTCTTATAAAAAAAACACTTGATTGGATGAATACAGTCCACTGTTTTCTCATAATCTCTGGGACAAACTCCAACAAGTACAAATTTGTGGTGATAAGTTCTGCTTAACCCCTCACTGCAGTACTCAGTGTATTTGATCTCTTAAGTCAATTTACAGCATGACAGTAATATTTCAATTTTTTTTTTGGTAGATTTTACAAAATGTTGTTGATGCTGCTGTAGCAATACAATTAGAACGTGAGTTTGTGTTTCAGGGTGGTTATGCTGCCTACCGGTATGCCCAGCCTGCCACTGCCACTGCAGCTGCCTACAGTGACAGGTAAGCACTAATGGATTGCTAATAAATACTTGACCAGTGGAAGCTGAGGATGATTTTATCAATTTGCCTTGTTTAAGTCTCATAATTGTCTTGTTGCTCTGCAGATAACTGTGATATCTAAAGCAGGCTGTTTTATTATAATCCATGAATAGCTGTAAATTTTAGGTATTGAGAAATTGAGAATCAGGAATGAGGCATGCACATTCCCAAGCTGTAGATCATACTGTTAATGCCTGTGCCCCTTGTGCAATGTAGATAAATACACGATCATACAGTTAATGCCTGTGCCCCTTGTGCAATGTAGATAAATACACATATGGCTTCATGATGGTCTGCTACTTAGGATCATTATTTGTCTTGCAAGTATTATTTCAGTTAATTTAGAATCCAAACCTACTGAATGTTCTCAGTTCCCATTGACATTGTTTTAGTTAGTGGAAATTGAGAATGAACAGTATCCAAGCTTGAACTATCTGAGTGAAAAACCTTTCTTTTTTTTTCCTATTTGCTTCCTTCTCAAACATTTTTGGAGTGCTGAAAAAAAAATTGGAATTATGCTTCTTTTGATGTATATTTTATCCTAAAAATATAAACCACACTTGTTGGAAAAATTATCAGGAATTATATTAAAATCTGCATAAGAGAAACATGTAAAGACCTTTGTAATCTAATAAGGATGTCAATGAAACTAACTCTTCCTCTTACAAGATGAAAATTGTGGTCCTCTGGAAGTCAGTGTCTGAATTGCTATTGATTTCAATAGAAATACATTTTTGTCAAACAGCATTAGTCTTTGCAGCATGTGGACATGGTATACCATTTGCTGCTAAGAAATTGTATCTTTAATAAAATCAATGCTACCATTAATACCTTTCACATACTTGAAAAATATGTAGTCATAAAGGGAGGAATGTGTATTGCAAAAGATAGATCTTATGATTCACTATAATAGCAAGAAGTGTGGTCACACTTCTGTATTCCTGATATAAGAAAATTTTCCCCTGAAATCAGGGAGAAAATTTCTTAAATTTTGAAATGTATTGGAAAATTACTTTAAATGCTGAATTAGACATTGTTTTTAAATGTTGCTCTTTCTTAAAGAAATCAAAGGATTAAGAAATTTCAGTGAACTTTTTCTTAGATGGAAGTGCTGTTCATGGATTCCATATTTTAGAATAAAGTACTATAGTCTGAATGTTACAGTGCTATGCATGCGTATTTGCCTTTCAAATGCTTATTATGGGTAATGAAGATACATTTCTTAGTTACGTGAATAAAACAATTTGCATGTGTGGCTGAGGCATGCTGTGTCAGACAGGTAAGCAAGTTACTTTCTATTAATTTCGGGTGAATTATACTAAAGTAGATCCTGCTGTTTGCACTCTGAGTTGTCCTATTTCTACTGAGGGTAACCTCTGAGACGAAGTGCCACTCCGTAGTTCCATTTCATTTCCACAAAGGCGTGTTGTTAGCATGGTGCAGGGCTAGGGTTATAGTGCAAAACAATGCTGGATGCTAAAAGATTAGTAAAATGAAAGGACAAAATTACAAATAGCCTACTGTGACTAGCCATTTTTGCCAGATATCGCTGAGGTGTCTCTGGGTCATTTTGTAGGGTGCTTATTCCTATGAATACATGAATTTCCAAAATATTACATAGAGAAATGGATATCAAGATGACTTTTAAATCTTTATCTATGAATTAGTGTACCTTCTCATAAAACAAAGCACATATTCTGCTATTTGTAGAGAGTAAACAGCACTAAAAGTTACCCTGACCATGAAAACAAATAAAAGATTTGCTTAAGAGGACAGATGATACAAGATCATCTATCTGTGATAGGAGATAGTGTTCTTAAATGCCTTAAAGAAAGCTTAAGATGGTATCAATATTAATGAAGTCGTTAGCCTTAACTATTTTTTGAAAAAAAAAATCTAATTTGCAGATGCACTTTGTGTATAATTGGAATTGTCATAACCCGAGTTTGATGCATAGTTTTAGGTATCTTAAATGAATTTTATATCTGTTTTGTTTTTAATTTAGTTTCTCTTTTTAAATATGGTTACCCCTTATGTCTGACTTGCTTCTGCCAAGTGAATATGGTATCTTGTGATAATTACAAATATTGTAATTGAACTTCCTTAATCTAGCCTAAAGCTAGAATAGAAAACAAAACAGAAACAATCTGCTCAAACCAACATTTTTTTAAATATATGAAACTATATGCAAACATGGATACCTCTGAATACTCACCACTACAATTTGTGTTAATTTTAATAACTTTTCATTGATTTTTACTTAATGTAATTTAGCAACCCTATTGTAAATCATTGCACTGTAAGTGCTGTAATAGCTCAGTACAACTACTCGTATCTGTTCTTCTTAATGTTATAATTACCTTCTGTCCTGTGATAATAGAGAAAAGTCCATACTGGATTATTTACTGCTCCTTTTCAGTGTTGATTTCAACCCCTATTTTAATTGTAAATGAAATATACTTACTGTACATTTTAAAACCATGCCCAGTAAAATGAAGTGAGGGCAAATATTACTGAGGCAGAGACATAACATGGAAAATAATGCTTTTTTATTTTCTTATTTTTTTATTTTTTGGTCACAGATCATATACTTGATGAATGGCAAGGTTCCATAATTGATAGGTCTCTTTAATTGTGCAGATGGAAAGAGCAAATCTTTAGATTGGAGACATATTTTGGTAAATTAAAAATAAAGGTTAACGGAAAGATCTGGGACTCCAGAATCAATATAGCAAGTCAATGGATAATGATCACTGTAATAGAGCTCTATTGTGAAGAAATGCAATGGTATCCGTGTTTGTCACATCTGGAAATATTGCTGGGAGTAAGCAAAGAATTGTTATATAGGAGAGAATCAGATGGTAAGGAAACAAATAAAAGCAAAATCCTAAGTATTTGTTAAGAAAAATCATGTCCTTCCTCATAAAAATAAATGCAGACCTGCAAATATCTCCAGGTTCTTCTTAGACATACAACACTGAAAGAAAACAAAACCACCCCCCACCCCACCCCAAAAAAGAGGTATTTTATTTTATATATGAAGCAATATAATCACTGAATACCAATTGAAAAAGTAGAATGGGAGTCTTATATTGTGTGATCTATATTAATTACTCTTAAACATTTGAGCCTCTTCGGAGAACAAGAACAAAACAAATCACTATTCTGGGGCTTTGCCTCCCAAACTGTCTGAACTGAGCTGTTTGGAATGATAATTGTAATGACATGCAAAAGATGCTAAATCAGGTGCCAGTAAAATGCCCACTCAGCTTCTACTCAGCTTTCATGTAATGTTGTAGAAGTATTATATATGTATATATATATACATAGAGAGAGAGAGAGAGAGCTGTTAGATTTCTATCCAAGTCTGAAGTAAGAAAAACTAGCCAAGTCAACAAATTTGGTATTTATGACATAGAGTGAGTGAAAGCATGGCAGTGGGGCGTATTGTCATTTTGTCATTGCATGTTCACTTGGTGTTGCTAGTATGTCTGTAATGCTGTATTGGATTTGACAGATCCATCACATAGCTCAGTGAATGGCTTGCTTGAATTAAGCCTATGGGCAGACTTATTCACATTGATTGGCTATTGGTTTTGTGTTTTATGACTTGATTTTTGCATCTTTGATCAGCGTAAGAAAAATGTTCCTTTCTTGCATATTTTCTTTGTCAGCAATATTTATGAAAGTGTATGTGGTAGTGTAATGAAGCAAAACCCCACTTAGAGTGTATTAGCCCTACCTGAAAGGCAGCCTTTTCCCTTGTACTGCTTGCTAACCCCTTAACACTTAATAATGGTAACTGTGTGTTTATATATGTATGGCAGTGTACACACACATATATATATATATATATATACACACATGCTACCCATCCATCACCCACCACAAACACACAGATGCACACACACACGTACATGCACACATATGTATGAAGGTATTGTGCTCTGAGATTAATTCTCTTTTTCTAATGCATTGTCTGATTAAAATTTTGCTATGAAAATGGAAAGATTTCCATTGACTCTTTTGGTGTTTGGATTATAACCCTCATCACTGGAAGCTGACTATTTTTTTTAATTAATTCCTCTTTAAATAAAAAAAAACAAATAACAAGCATATTCTGAAACATTTTGAATAGAACATTTTGTAGTGTAGAGTATATATATTTTTCTCTATCAGTTTTTGTTACATGTTCTGTGGTCATACATAGGTTTTTGTACAAAATTTAAGACAGGACATTTTGTTGTATGGAAGTTGTGTATCTTCCAGATCTGAAGTCTCACTCCCTATAAAATCCTAATAATAATTTACCTTTTTAACATATCCTCATGGAATCTTTATTTTTGTCAAAGTAGTAGTTTCTGCAGATATATAATTTAACATCTTTTTTCAGTCCTCTTTGTGAAAAGTACCTGAGAGTAATACTTGATGTTTGTAGGCCACTTATCCTAAAATAGATACTAGAAACAGATTTGATTTAGGTGAAAACATGTTCATTAAAGGATCAAAAACAGAATAAAGAATAAAAATATATAAAATACAAAATGTGACCTTTCATAGATTGTGTATAGGTTTGTTGAATAATGTAAACTTCAAGATATTCTGTTTTATGAATAACAATGTAACTATTACAGTTTTATTCAGATTATGTTCTCTTATTGAGGATCCTACTAATGATATATACTAAAAATTAGAGATTTGACAGCAGATAAAATATCATAGCATCTTCAGTCAGAGTTTAATTTACCATTAAATAATTTCATAGAAAGATTAATATTTTAAACAGTAGTACTTCATTTATTTAATGATCATAGTTTTTAAGATTTAGGAGAAAGAATTATGTGCACAGTTGTAGTTCCTTAAGTAACTGGTTTGGGGGAGGAAAAATAATAAGACACAGCAATGTCTCACTTCTCTACTCGCAGCTGGAATCTTTAAACATTTTTGAAATTTGCTATACA